CTTGAGTACTGTTACAGCAAGGTTAATGAAAGCTCATATACAAGTATTATATCAAATTTGTATTTCTGTATCAAGTTTTTTGCGATTTCCGGTAACCGGAAGTGGAAGTTATTCTACTTTTGGTTTTTGAAAAGCCTATAACTTGAGTACTTTTCAGATAGATAAACGAATTTCACAAATAAGTAAAAGATCTAATTCTCTGCCTTTTGTCAAATTTTGAGTAATTTCCGTTGAACGGAAGTAGTAATTTACTCTATTTCCGATTTCTCAAAAAAAATGCATGAGAATCTATATAGTACTAATAATATCCCGCACTACTATACACAGATTTTTTGGCGTTCACTTGGTGCGCCATTCTTTTTTCTACTAGATTCTATTCTATTTTTAAAAGTTTAAGTAAACAAAGATCATGTCTATACCCCGAGTTGCCATCCCACGTAGTGTTATATAAGAATATTTGAAAACGTTTAGGAGAGATCTCTCCCGTTTTTTTTTTATTTTTTATTTTTTATCATTTGAGGGGAAGTACCTCATTTATTTTCTCAACAAAATATTTTCCGGGTTATATCCCCTGCATTTGAATTATGCCATTTGAGTTATTGGTTACATTTTAATAGACAATGTCGGAAGTTGAACTTATTATACACATTTTACAGGGATGTTTTAAGTATGATGGTTAAGATTATTGTAATGATGATGTGAGTGATGATGATGGTGATGGTAAAGATGATGATGATGATGATGATGATGATGATGATGATGATGATGATGATGATGATGATGATGATGGTGAAGGTGATGATGATGATGATGGTGATGGGGATGGTAAAGATGATGATGATGATGATGATGATGATGATGATGATGATGGTAAAGATGATGATGATGATGATGATAATGATGATGATGACTATTCCCGTCATGATTTCCCAGCCTTGATACTCTCTACAGCCAAAATCCTAGTGACAAATCAAAATTAAAACCAAATTATAAGCACACACATAATTAAGAGACTTAATTGATTTCATTAAAAACAGGGCCTTTCAATTGTATTTATGTTATTATTTTTTTTAAGTCATTTTTATTGTGCAGAGAAATTTTTATCAATTTCATAGCGTACGACTTGATGAGTAGATCTATAGATCTAAATCAAATTTGAATTACATTGTTCATTACTATATGTTCAAAAAATTTGGACATCGACGCCATTAGTTTTGTGTACTTTCTATAGTATAAACATGTGACATGTGACGTCGTTGTGAGGTTTTTTTTTTGTTTTTTTTTCTTATCACAATAATAAACATATCTTTGGTTGCATAATTTATGAGTTAAAATGTGGTTCTACATCGAAATATGGATTTATTTTTATGTTATTTCTTTGAATAAAATTTTGTTTATACATTTAATACATCCAAGAGATTATTTTCAACAAAAGTCCGTATTATTAAGCAGTGGCGTAGCGAGGTCAGGTATCACCCGGTGCGGCACTTAATGGTGTCACCCCCCAGAGGCGTAGCGACCCTTCCCGGAAACAAACTTTCAATTTTCGATTTGCACCGCCCCCCCCCCCCCCCTCAAACTTTCAATTTGCAGCCCCCCCCCCCCTCAAACTTTTGATTTGCACCTCTTAAAAGACTATTTAACACTCGAATCAATCACTTAATTAAGTGAAATTGTCATTTTTCTCTATATATTTTGCTACTTTTTGCCTTGGTGTCACCCCCCTAAGTGGTGTCATCCGGTGCGGTCCGCACCCCCCGCCCCCATCTCGCTACGCCTCTGTTATCAAGTTCTCCAAATATATCGCTGAAGATACTGATCTCCTAGACTGCAGACAGAGAGTGTGCATATATGAGGTTACCAGGCAAAGGTATGTAACTCGGGTTGTAATGTCGAAATCTGACTTTTAATAAGGTAGCTTCCCTTTATTCACCTTTGAAAAAAATACATTTCCTTCTTTTGTTAATAACTCAAACGGATATTTTGGATTTTCACCAAAAATCTCATATACCCGGTAGTAAATATGAACGTTTAACTAATATACATCAGACAAACTAATAACATCAGTACAAACTAATAACATCAGATTAAAATAATCTTACTACTCTAGACCAGTGCTTGACTGTAAGCTAGTTCCCTACACAACGATTTTACCCGCTATAACATCTCAATAGTCTCATGACAGCTATTTCCCTGTATAACGATTTTAACTGTTATACGTCGCAATGGTTTCCGCTAGTTCCCTGTATAAGGATGTTACCCGCTATATGTCTCTATAGTTTTATGTCAGTTATTTTCTGTCACATTCCGTCACTCGAAGACACTATATTTCATTTTGTCACATTTTGTCACATTTCGTCACATTTCCGTCTAAACCTCACACATTCTGTTAATCTGTGAAACAGTACCTGTCTGTCACAAACTGTCACATTTTGTTACACTGTAACACAGTACCTGTCTGTCACTATCTGTCTAGTGATGAAACTATTTCACCAAGTTGAGCAACAATCAACGTTTTTGTGGGTGGGGGGGGGGGGGGGTTATCACGAAAAGAAATGGCGTTTTTTTATAAAATGTATTTACCACTAAAACAACAAAACATAACAAGTTTAGAATTAGTATGTACAAACCAAATAAAAACAATTCAGTAAAAAAATATAAGTAAAAAAAATATCAATCAAATACACATCTAATTAGTTCTACTTAAATTTTTAAGGAGACACCAAATTAAAGTTTCTTTTAACTGGCGCCCCCAACATGTTTCCCACTTAACCCTTGATTAAAACAGAAATCCTAACCGGACGTCCAAGTAAACCTAAACCGCTCTAATGTAACTACCCGCTCCGTCAGCAAACTCCTCCAGTTCATGACCTTGACCCTCACCCAGAGACCAGCTCACCAAATAAAAGTGAATCCCGTGCGGTGTGTGCTCACGTGCTGGCCCACCGCGCACACCAAACAGCGGTGAGACAATGAGAATAATGAGCAATTATCTTTAACAAACAAAGGTTTCTACCACGGTGGACAACATAAGGGAGTCAACTAAGGGATGTAATTCATGTTTTAGAACAGACATGCCCGTACTCAAATTACCTCCCTTTCTATTTCACCAATAATGTTTTTCAATATTTTATTTCTCAAAAATTTCATCTTTAAGTTTCATTCACTACCCCGTTGAGAAGTTGATCTGAATGAATGTATAACGTGTAACTTCTTTTTAAATTTTAATCATAGCAGCATATTACAAATTCGGTTTCCCTTTTATTCCAACCTTTTTAAAATTCGGTCCCAATTTATGCACAGGCCGAAAGCCCAACTGGCAACGTTGGTGCTGTCAAGACCTATGGCTCCTGGCCACAAGATCACTTGTCCTAAAGTGTATTTTTCTCTTAAGTACCAACTGGCCAGATTTTTCTCCCGATCCCAACCAAAACAGTAATGAGAAACGTGAAGCTTTCTTTCAGCCGTATGCAAATTCCGGGTCGGTTTCGAGATCCTTCGGACCAGACATTGACCGTTTAACATTTCACTGGCCATCTGGCATCACCGGGCAGACGACATCACAGGCGGAAAATTCTGGCACTTTTGATCCCTGTGATATCGCCTTAATCATGATCAACCTCATTATCGCTGTCGTCAGAGTGAGCAGATATTGGAAACGTTGTGAGCATATTTCTCTCATGTGTTAGTTTTTAGCTCCGGTTTTGATTAGGTGGGGTTTGGGTTAGTGTTTGTCGGTGTTATGTCCCCTTGTGTTGTGTTTAGTATCAGTTCTATAGTTAGTAGAAGCAGTGTTGGTAAGGTTTGTGTTTATTGTGTGTTTAGTGCTAGTTTTGTGATCACAGTTACCGTTTAGTGATTTGTGTTGCTGTGGTGTGTTTGAATGAAATTATTTTGTATAAAGTGGATATATGTGGATTACAAGAGGTTTAGGAGAATGAAGATGTTGCATTATGTGTTTGGATGTGTGAATGTGTGGATGTGTGGATGTGTAAGTGTGTCATCCACGGTGTTTGTAATATTTGGTTTTGTTTATCTGAGCTATGTAAAGTTTATGTTTTATTGCTACAGTGCAGTCAGTGAACGTCGTGAACTGCTGGTCCAGTGTATGTATATATGTATGTGTGTATGTATGTATGTATGTATGTATGTATGTATGTATGTATGTATGTATGTATGTATGTATGTATGTATGTATGTATGTATGTGAGGGAAGAGAGTGCCACTATGGATACACGTCTGAGGATTTATGTGTTCTTGTATACCGGCGTGTGTTTTGTTAATATAAATGTTGGTTTGTAGAGGTTAGAAATTATTTTTGTGGTATTGTATTTTATGTGAAGTCCCTCGGTTTTTTTTCTATTCAACTACGTGGAAATCAAAAATTGGTTTATGTTATCTTAGCGCTATCCCTCGTATCTTTGCCAGTTACCCATTAGGGCTGAGTCCCCCAATGTCTAAACGTCTACCAACAACCGCCCGTACCCCGACACCTACCCGTCCCCCCAACACCCACCCTTCCCCCAACACCCACCCGTCCCCCAACACCCACCCGTCCCCCAACACCCCCCACCCCCGTCCCCCAACACCCACCCATCCCCCAACACCTCCCCACCCCTGTCCCCCTACACCCATCGACCCTCTTTACCAGCCGGGCCATACAATATCAATAACAATGAGCTAAGATGTCTTAAGACGGAAACCGCTGCCCCCAATTCCGATAGCCGGACTACCAGACCCGCAGAACGTGAGGTTTTTACCGGCCGCCCGTGCGGACTTGCATTAGTCCGGATTTAACAAATAAAACTAAATGAAACGCCGGATCCACTTTGTTATTTCGCCAGCTCTTTAGTTAATTACAGACCAGGCCAGGCAGGGGAGAGAACCAGAGCAGGGGAGAGCACCGGAGCAGGGGAGACCACCGACTTTACAGGAAGAGCCCAGACCGGAAGTAGATTTTTCCACAGATTTGCACTCACGCCTGGGATCAGCGCGTGACTTTATCGTCCGTCCTGCACACGTCTGCTTGGCTGTGTCGTCTGCTTCAGTTTAACGTCTGCTGGAGGGGTGGGACGTCTGCTGGAGGGGGACGTCTGCTGGAGGGGGACGTCTGCTGGAGGGGGACGTCTGCTGGGGTAGGGGACGTCTGCTGGAGGGGTGGGACGTCTGCTGGAGGGGGACGTCTGCTGGAGGAATGTGTCGTCTGCTGGAGGGATTGGACGTCTGCTGGAGGGATGGGACGTCTGCTGGAGAGATGGGACGTCTGCTGGAGGGATGGGACGTCTGCTGGAGGGGGGGGGCGTCCGCTGGAGGGATGGGACGTCTGCTGGAGGGATGGGACGTCTGCTGGAGGGAGACGTCTGCTGGAGGGAGACGTCTGTTGGAGGGAGACGTCTGCTGGAGGGAGACGTCTGCTGGAGGGGGACGTCTGCTGGAGGGATGGGACGTCTGCTGGAGGGATAGGACGTCTGCTGGAGGGGGACGTCTGCTGGAGGGATGGGACGTCTGCTGGATGGGACGTCTGCTGGAGGGGGACGTCTGCTGGATGGGATGGGACGTCTGCTGGAGGGATGGGACGTCTGCTGGAGGGATGGGACGTCTGCTGGAGGGATGGGACGTCTGCTGGAGGGATGGAACGTCTGCTGGAGGGATGGGACGTCTGCTGAAGGGATGGGACGTCTGCTGGAGGGGGACGTCTGCTGGAGGGATGGGACGTCTGCTGAAGGGATGGGACGTCTGTTGGAGGGATGGGACGTCTGCTGGAGGGATGGGACGTCTGCTGGAGGGATGGGACGTCTGCTGAAGGGATGGGACGTCTGCTGGAGGGGGACGTCTGCTGGAGGGATGGGACGTCTGCTGAAGGGATGGGACGTCTGCTGGAGGGGGACGTCTGCTGGAGGGATGGGACGTCTGCTGGAGGGGGACGTCTGCTGGAGGGATGGGACGTCTGCTGGAGGGATGGGACGTCTGCTGGAGGGGGACGTCTGCTGAAGGGATGGGACGTCTGCTGAAGGGATGGGACGTCTGCTGGAGGGGGACGTCTGCTGGAGGGGGACGTCTGCTGGAGGGATGGGACGTCAGCTGGAGGGGGACGTCTGCTGGAGGGATGGGACGTCTGCTGGAGGGGGACGTCTGCTGGAGGGATGGGACGTCTACTGGAGGGGGACGTCTACTGGAGGGGGACGTCTACTGGAGGGATGGGACGTCTACTGGAGGGATGGGACGTCTGCTGGAGGGATGGGACGTCTACTGGAGGGATGGGACGTCTGCTGGAGGTATGGGACGTCTGCTGGAGGGGAACGTCTGCTGGAGGGATAGGACGTCTGCTGGAGGGATGGGACGTCTGCTAGAGGGGGATGTCTGCTGGAGGGATGGGACGTCTGCTGGATGGGACGTCTGCTAGAGGGATGGGACGTCTGCTGGAGGGATGGGACGTCTGCTGGAGGGGGACGTCTGCTGGAGGGATGGGACGTCTGCTGGATTGGACGTCTGCTGGAGGGGGACGTCTGCTGGAGGGATGGGACGTCTGCTGGATGGGACGTCTGCTGGAGGGGGACGTCTGCTGAAGGGATGGGACGTCTGCTGGAGGGATAGGACGTCTGCTGGAGGGATGGGACGTCTGCTGGAGGGATGGGACGTCTGCTGGAGGGATGGGACGTCTGCTGGAGGGATGGGACGTCTGCTGGAGGGATGGGACGTCTGCTGGAGGGATGGGACGTCTGCTGGAGGGATGGGACGTCTGCTGGAGGGGGACGTCTGCTGGAGGGATGGGACGTCTGCTGGATGGGACGTCTGCTAGAGGGATGGGACGTCTGCTGGAGGGATGGGACGTCTGCTGGAGGGGGACGTCTGCTGGAGGGATGGGACGTCTGCTGGATTGGACGTCTGCTGGAGGGGGACGTCTGCTGGAGGGATGGGACGTCTGCTGGAGGGATGGGACGTCTGCTGGAGGGATGGGACGTCTGCTGGATGGGACGTCTGCTGGAGGGATGGGACGTCTGCTGGAGGGGGACGTCTGCTGGAGGGATGGGACGTCTGCTGGATGGGACGTCTGCTGGAGGGGGACGTCTGCTGGAGGGATGGGACGTCTGCTGGAGGGGGACGTCTACTGGAGGGATGGGACGTCTGCTGGAGGGATGGGACGTCTGCTGGAGGGTGGCGTTTTCTCAAGGTGAATGTTTGCCCTAGGTGTAATTTTGCTTTATGTATGACTAGTTTCGCTACAAATTACGCATTATGTTATTATACCATTACGCATATCCGATAGAAGGCCCAAATGCCTCCATAAAAATTTAATTTTTTTTTAAGAAACCGTGTCATTTTTAAAAAAGGAATTTAAAAAGCAACAAATGCGTTGAGTAACTTGAATATCAAGAGCCTCGGAGAGCACTTAGAATGAATACATTCATCATTTTAAAGATACTAGGATGAATTAACTTATCATTGTATAGTTTTTGGGATGTATACATTATGTATACAATCATCATTTTTAACTTTACAGTCATAATGACATTGCAAAGAAACAGCGGAGTGATCCCAAATCTCAAGCAGTAGAAGTAGAAGTCAGTATTTTATCCTGACTTGTTTTAGCTACTAGTTGTAGCAGTCTGCACGTGATGTCTGTTTTATCCACTGCTCACACGTCCCTTGTGCAATAGGTAAACGTTTGATTACTGTCCTGGTCGTAACTAAAGATAGATAGCAGATAGGTGGGGTATCTTTGCCGTGCCACCTATTGAAATATTGCTGCACGGTACTAAAACTGGTGGATCTAAAGTTTTAAAATGGTAAAGTTTTTTTAATGCGAATATTCTATTCAATGCAAATGAAATTAACACCTAATTATACCAAAAGAACAAACTTAATGATTGAAATAAAATAAAAACTAATGATAAAATTCAAGAAACAACTCATTTAAAGAATCAAGACATTTTGTGCCGCTTGTACATTGTGAAAAGTTTGTACAATTATGTTTTTATTTTATTTTTGCAACATGTTTGGCAACAATAATGCTGGGAGTAGACAATGCTCATAAAACTCTAATTGCAAGTTAACAAAAAACTCAGTTGACGTCACAAAGATTATAAAGACAACATAACAGAAAACTTAAACTACAACATTACGGAAAACATAAACTACAACATCAAGGAAAAATTAAACTGCATCACAGAAAACCAAATCACAATATCACAAATATCTCTAATAACCAAATTACAAAGAGTCCTTATGACAACATCACTAGAAATTCCGCGAACATCAGCTATCCCGAACATCATCTCCTAGCCCAACCATTCGGAAAACCCCAAACAGATTCCGTCTATCCAATTCCGAGACTCCGGTCCACCCAATGGAAAAGATAAACAATGAAAACCCAATCAGAGGGGCGAATAAATAGGCCGTAGGTTTACAAGTTTCACCGGAAGTTAACAAACCATTGACCGGAAGCTGACCAATGTTTTTACCACCCCATTTCTCTCGACCACTTTTGTTGTCTTTAAATCTGGCCAGCCGTTAATTTGTCCGCGGCGATGAAAGCGGACATCTCGACAAAGTGCTCACAATTAGACGTGATTTCATTTGGACGAAGCGACCAGCAGTGACACTGGCAATACAAAACTTGTGGGGCAAGCTCATGCGGGCTGGAGTTCTAGAACTCTGGAACATTTCTATCAAACAGCATTTATACGTCGTTTTACTGTCTCAGATATTTAAGTTCACAAAAAAACATTTATACGTCCTTTTACTGTCTCAGATATTTAAGTTCCCAAAAAACATTTATACGTCGTTTTACTGTCTCAGATATTTAAGTTCACAAAAAACATTTATACGTCGTTTTACTGTCTCAGATATTTAAGTTCACAAAAAACATTTATACGTCGTTTTACTGTCTCAGATATTTAAGTTCACAAAATACATTTACACGTCGTTTTACTGTCTCAGATATTTAAGTTCACAAAATACATTTACACGTCGTTTTACTGTCTCAGATATTTAAGTTCACAAAATACATTTACACGTCGTTTTACTGTCTCAGATATTTAAGTTCACAAAAAACATTTACACGTCGTTTTACTGTCTCAGATATTTAAGTTCACAAAATACATTTACACGTCGTTTTACTGTCTCAGATATTTAAGTTCACAAAAAACATTTATACGTCGTTTTACTATCTCAGATATTTAAGTTCACAAAAAACATTTATACGTCGTTTTACTGTCTCAGATATTTAAGTTCATAAAATACATTTATACGTCGTTTTACTGTCTCGGATATTTAAGTTCACAAAAAACATTTATACGTCGTTTTACTGTCTCAGATATTTAAGTTCATAAAATACATTTATACGTCGTTTTACTGTCTCAGATATTTAAGTTCACAAAAAACATTTATACGTCGTTTTACTGTCTCAGATATTTAAGTTCATAAAATACATTTATACGTCGTTTTACTGTCTCAGATATTTAAGTTCACAAAAAACATTTATACGTCGTTTTACTGTCTCAGATATTTAAGTTCATAAAATACATTTATACGTCGTTTTACTGTCTCAGATATTTAAGTTCACAAAAAACATTTATACGTCGTTTTACTGTCTCAGATATTTAAGTTCATAAAATACATTTATACGTCGTTTTACTGTCTCAGATATTTAAGTTCACAAAAAACATTTATACGTCGTTTTACTGTCTCAGATATTTAAGTTCATAAAATACATTTATACGTCGTTTTACTGTCTCAGATATTTAAGTTCACAAAAAACATTTATACGTCGTTTTACTGTCTCAGATATTTAAGTTCATAAAATACATTTATACGTCGTTTTACTGTCTCAGATATTTAAGTTCATAAAATACATTAGTCGCTATGTGAAATCTCATTCATAGGCCTATCTCATTATTTTTTTATAAACGCCCTGTTTTAAAATTTACTTTTCCAAATAACATTAGAATAAAAGAATTAGGTATTTTCTATTTTGTTACTGATGTTTGATAAGTTTGTTTTCAGAAAATTTTTTTAAAATGTTTTATAAAAAATTTATTTTGATAGATAATGTGTTTTCAATGTTTTTTTTCTTTTGTAATATTTCAATCTTAGATCATATTTGTTAGTGTGCATGTCAAAATTGAAAGTTTTATATAATTGCTTTATATGTACATGTTAGTTTACTAAATTATATGGGTGGAGTGTCGTGAAAATGGTTTTCATGTAAATATGTTGTAGCTTCAGTGTAAATTGTATAAGCGGAACTCATGTCAGCATTTCGTCACATTTAATACCAATGCTTTACTGCTGGTTAGTTATCGCAGAGGTACAAAAGTCACAGGGTTCTTTGGTTGTGGAGCCAGGAGTCGGCATTGAGAAGTTAGTATAGCATTGAGAAGTTAGTATATTCGTAGTGGAGTCATGAAGTGCTTGAGCTGTAGTTGTTATACGTGGAGTTGAAATGACGTAGTTTCGAATGACGTAGAGTTGGAATGACGTAGGGTAACCCGGGGTAATTCCATACACTACTTTTCTAAAAAAATTGTAAAAAATCTAAAATTAACACTACCACAATATAATATTGAGGGTATAACTAGTCATGCATTACTTATATGATGGCAAACAAATATAAAGATAATTCACAAAATAAAATACAATTTTTAAATATTTCACTTTTATTGCCAAAATATGGCAAGTGGGGCAATTCCACACACATTATGAAAATTTTAAAATTCATGTATTTAAAAATGTGTAAAAAACATTTTTCCCCTTGGAAACAATTTTGCATGGGGGCAACCAGTCTTCATCACTGGGTGAGGAGAAAGTCTCATTTTCTTCCTCCTGAATTCTACTCTCATCTGTCATAGGCCAAAGTTATTCGTTTATAATTGTGGACCATTCTGAAATAAATACAAAATTAAATGTTAGAAAGTCTAATTACTAATGTGTGTATGGGGATGTTTAGCTCTAAATATTGCATAAATTATAATAAATAATATAGGTACAGTAAAAATAATAATAGATAAAGAAATAAAAGAAGTATGTGGCAATTTTACATAACTTTAATAAAAAATAAATAGTACTAGATCTAGTACTATTCAAGTATTTTTTAAGATTAAATCATGCGTTGTAAATTACAGAATTAGCCACAACCAGTTGAAATGGTTTAAAATAATAGCTTAACCCTCTAAAGAGTATAAAAAGCAACATGGGACATTCCAAACTATAGTGTGTGGAACTGCCCCACACCATGTGTGTGGAATTGCCCCACACCTACTATTGAAAAAAATATGCTTTCCTGTTCTAAATTAAAGGCTGAATCTAGCATCATTAACTGTTACTATTAACAAAAATGATTAAGCTTTCATATAATCAATAAATAATTGACAACAATTAAAAATAAGACAAAAAAAATATTTTTAAAAAAGTGCAGGGGTTGTACTTACCTAAGGATGTTTGAAGATAGATGCAGATAAAATTAAAATTCTTGCTCTGAATGTAGGTGAACGCTTCTCTAACAGTATCAGAAAGTACAAGAAATGACCTCTTAGAAACAGGGAATAGTAACTTTTGATTAAACTTTACTATCATTAAAAATAGAGAGTATCCAGTATATAGTGTGTGGAATTACCCCGTGTGTGGAATTACCCCACCTTACCCTACATTTGGAATGACTTAGAGTTTGAATGACGTAGAGCTAGAATGACGTAGAGTTTGAATGGCGTAGAGCTAGAATGACGTAGAGTTGGTATGACGTATAGTTGTAGTGAAGTAGAGTTGATCTGACGTAGTGTTTGGAATCATATATTGTTCATAAAACCTTACGTCATACGTATGAAAATCTTGACCAGAAACAAAAGTTGAATCAACACAACTAAAATAAATTGTAAAGGGAAGGCACTCCGCTGCACGAAATTGTAACAGGGGAAGATTACTCCCGACATAAATCAAAGGGACCATTTGTCTTGGGCCGCGCTGGTTGGGCCATCAATAGACGATTTGAGCCGTATTTAGACGGGCATTACACGGCCAACTTTCAGCGTCGGCCCAGCGGGGACCTAGGTTTGGGGCCGCTCAGGCCATTGTCACCAGCCTCATTTCCCTGCGTGCTCATCTCCTTGTCCTTTTCATCATGAACGAGCGTCGAGAGGGGGGATAAATCCTGGTGCCGGAGACGAGCTTCGTCTTTTCGGAGAACTGACTGGAGGAATAATTAAAAAATACTCCCAGTGGTCAATCGTAGCGGTGGAAAAATTTGGGAATAAAGTCTTGGAG